TGTCAGCACCCCCACATCCCCCCAACCTTAATTCAATCCATATTCCGAAAACAAATCTGCTACACAAGCTCTAACAAAACATGATAACCCATGTCCCTACATAATGTCTGCACCACGACACCACCACCAATCGACACTGCTGCACTGTCCGGCTCGACGACTTAACAACAGCAATGTTGCCATCAGCGCAATGATCCGTTACTCGCGCCGACACGTCTTCTGGTTGCGACCAGCACTCAACAAGGGCGCTGGACTGCAGGAAGTTGCGCAGGTTCCAGGCGTGTGCATCGCCCGACCTTACAACCGCATTCCTGGCCAGCGGCGCTGACGATGTGCAAAAGACAGCCAGTTGTGGATTACAACACTCCCGCTGCGTAGATTCCAAAACACTCGAAAGAACAATGGAGCAGGGTGTAGGGAAGGGAGCTTCAGGCTTTTCGCCCACGTGGTACGATGGTCAGTACTGCTAGCTAATACATCGGTGGCGGCGGAGACGCCCATCAAAATAAACCAAAGATCACTTTTTGCTGACTCGTGCATTGCAAGATAAAAAAATGTGAGGGAAGCAGAGTGCAACACCTTGACGCTACGATTCACCTAGTTGTGTCACGTGCAACAGGCGGCTGCACAGAGCCTTAGGCCTGATGAGTCCCTCGGCAACAACTGGCATCGACCCAGCACCCAGCCTAGGCGCAGAAGTGGCAGCCGCAAGGAGACATCCATTCTGTAAGGTGGCCCTATCGCCCGCCGCACAGAGCAGCTTACCGAGGGATCAGCGTCCACAGCCCCGGACGGTGTTACGACGCCCAAGCGTCGAGCTGCAATACCAGACAGCAACGACGCCCGGCTCCCTGAGCCCAAAAGAGGTAGAAGAAGCTATTTACAGAAAATCGGACCACTCACTAGACTTCCGTACTCACTCGCTTCGGGCTTGGCCTACAATCCACGTGCTCTAAGCCTTGCTCACCCCAGGATGCAGACCGCATGGCTCTCGTACTAACTTAACGTTTTTGCCAATCAGTAACAACAAAATAAAAACACTTGCGAGCAAAAGAAAAAAAACTCGAGTGCCGACAAGTCCAAACACGTCACAAATGCCGATCTCGCTCTCAGCAAAGCACACCTCCGACGCTAACTAAGAAGTCCCCCTAGGCCTACTCCACCTCGGCTTTAACAAAAGCTTGTACCGAACCGCGAAAACTGCCGTCCGATGCTCCAAGACCTCCACGCTAGGCGCCAGTGTGTGGTCTCAAATTGGCGAGCGAGTGCCACGCCATGCTCTTGGAGTGAAGCGACGCAGTAGACGTGGTCGGTACAAACCAAGCAACAACATACATTTATTTAACTAATTTATAATGACAATATCGTCCGCCGAACCTATACATCAATCGTTATCAACACGCTAGGACATCCGTACACAATATTACCATACACTCCATGAAAAACGCAATAACAAGACAAACACAATAACACACCTAAGGCGGCGTCGCTAACGCTTGACTTACCACGAGGGCCGCCCGACGCACACGACGCACAGCCCGCGGTGCCACGCACCTCGGGACCCACGCTAGAGACAGCCGTTCGCGACAACCGCCACACGCAGAAGAGACTCGCTCAACTCTCGCTCGCCACCAAGGCTTGCCTTCAGCCAGAGGTCACCGCCGGCGCAACCACTTTACCAACCACGATGATGATGATAGTGGTGATGGATGGATGGATAAATTGATGTGGCCCTTTAGATCGGGCCGCAGCTCACGCTACCTAGCCGTAATACTTAGTGAACCAGCTACTAGATTTATCTTTTTTTCGCTTTAAATAGTGAAGTTGAGGACTGAGTTAAGGTGCATGGTTTGTTAGTGGCTGAAAAAAGGGTGAGAGGTAGGTGTGGCCACTATCATAAAATGTTGAACAAACGCCCCCTACCCCAGCAAGTGCTCCCCCTTTCTTTTTTGGCATATCTCAAATAAGCGCCAATGATTGGTCGGGGACCGAGCTAGCGCCCCCTACCTAAACCTAGTTGGATTATCCTTCACCGTAAGGGGGTTGGGGTTAGGGCGGAGGGCACTTTGCTTGGAATTTTGCGATGGTCTTGCGGCAAAAGTCTCCCGTCACTGTATTGCTATTTTTGGGGTCATGGGAGCAGCCTGCCAGTGCTTTCAGGTTTCAACAAGACTGACACCCGTGTGCTGCATAGGTCGCGTTGTTGAAGTGCTGACTGATGGCAATCTCAGATGACTTGCTTTCGCACTTTTCCCAGCTTCAGTTGTAACACCGGAGCTGAAAACCCCCAGAACTAGGGAATTCTAGGGAATGGGAAAGGCAGCAGCAACTGCAAGAAGAACCCAAGTCAATGAAAGGCCTACGCCAACGACGTGCCCGCGTATCTGTGAGAGGTGCAAATGTTCAACTTGAGCGCGAGTTTCTTTTAATGGGAAACTCTCTGCGCCGAGCATCAATCATCGCTGAAATCGATCAACGCATCAATCATCGCTGAAAGCGCATCATTGTAAGGGTAGTTTCTACTCCCTTCATGCTGTGCCCTCCTAGCCACACCACTCACTCTCCCTAAGGCTTGCCGGAAAGCCCTCCTTCTGAGAAGAAAAGCCAACGTTTTATGAGCAAAAGCCAGCATCTTGGGCATTTTACGTTGCCCGATGTTCTATGTGTGAAGAGTTGGGATGATCTTTATTCGATGTAGCCGTAGATTCTCTTATGCATCGATGTTAAAGCATTGTTTGGTTTGATAGTAGTTCGATATAAAGGATAATTTGATTTACATGAGGTCACTATAGTCGGACACGACATTACATTGTTTTGAGAGTCAACCCATTTTACTATTACACGGCCTCCGGAATGTGCCCACTTTGTTATTACATTACAGGTTTTCCATGTTCAATACAAAGGTATTGCACTTTCAGGGATCGGGCTGCTCTGCTTTTGCACTATCACCCACTGTGGTAACATAGCATACACTACAAAATTTGAGGTCATGAGTTTGATTTGCTGCTGTGAGGGCAGTGTTTTGATAATGGTCAAATGTTAAGACACCAGTGTGTTTATTTCTATGTGCACAATAAGGAAACCCAGGTGATCAGAATTATCAGTCTTCCCATTATGGCTTACTTCATGATCATGTTATGGTTTTTACATGCAATTAACAGTTGAGTGCACATATACAGTCATTGCCTCATGAGAGTCCACATTTTTTAGATGCCCTGCTTTAGTTAAGTTATTAACCCTTTCAGACGCCAACTATTAAGAAATGTCTATAAATGTGTCAAATCACTACAACGTTACTTCAGGGCACTCAATATTCTATTGCGACAAAAAATAACGAGATAAATTGTTGAATCTACGTGTGTCATAGTAACTCGTTATAATTAAGTTGTAATTATATATCTCTTTATCCTGAAGTCATTGATGCTTACATTTAGCATAAATAGAATCTAATCTCAGGCTAGCAATACAGTGGAAATTTATTTTTGTTTACCCTATGTCAATTGTGAGCAAGGAAAATTTCTGCTTTTCAGATTGCTTGCAGGAAGCGGCACATTGCGTACAACTCGTCAAACATGGTAGAAAAGTGATCATATGTATCAATACACTGCCAAAGGAGGCTAAATGAAAAATTATTCGTGAAGGAGGTTCAATCCATCTAATGTACGATATATCTTCCTCTTCGTTAGCCTCTACTTGATGCAAATAACGAAAACGAGTGGTGTACACGAGTGTGTACATAGCGTCTGAAAGGGTTAATTATCATCTGTCCAGTCTGTACGTGTTACGCATGGTGTGCAATTGAACTTGTGTATTGGTTCATGGCATGGCACAGACCGGATTTGGCACCACCTGTAAGGGGCAGCTGTGTTTTGGCAGAAACTTGATGAAAGATTAGAGGAATAACTGTAGTAATAGTTGGTTTTTATTACATAATGCTTAGAAAAGTTTTATGACTGACTGACATCATGCCACCATCGTTCACTCAATGTAGTTTCATCACCTTCTGTAGCCCTTTCAAACTAGCAGTTGATGGAGGGTGACTTACAATGTACAACAGGGGTCAGGAATCTGTGGGCTTGCTCTGAACAAGTGCTTTAGATATATACAACTCGTACTTGTCAACTTGCAGGCTCCAATATTTGGAATAACCCTGTATTTTTTTTTAGGGGTGAAGCTTCTTAAGGTTGACCCAGGCTTGTTGTTTGCAGCCATCACGCTCCACAAAACTGAAACTGAACACTTGCCCAACGAAAAGCGAAAACATCTGTGTAAAAAAAAAACAACTCTGTGTACATCAGTGAAGTATATGACAGCACAATGCATGATCACCTGTGCCATCCATCCGTGCATCTGTCCATTCATTCGTCCGTTCGTACAGCTGTCCGTCAGTCCATCTGACCGTCCTTTATACTAGTCAGCGACTTCAACGGAGACATTATGGACTTTACGGGCTAGAAACCATCCTTACTCCACATTTACTACTACTCCTTGGGCAACAAGTTTTACAAAGAACCATGCTTTCTTTCTTTTCTAATATTAGTGCCTTTTTACCGGAACTGTAGTAGCATTTGCCGCAGGCATATTTATCCGCTATTTATTTGCTCAATCAATAAATTCATCTGACATTTTTTGTTGTAGTTGTTTTTTACAGGAAATTCAGAAGCGTGGTCTGGCATAGTCTCCAGCTGAAAACCCATAAAAGTAGCTCTGCCCACTCATAATCATTCACTTCGTGGTGATGCATGGATTTTTATTATTCAATTTTCGTTATCAATACCACAAATGAAACAATGATTGAAGGTACTGCCAATTTGATCCTTTGTCCAAGTCTCATTTACCGGCAAAACCTTTCATGATCGTCCCTCAGAATGAAGTCTTTCTGAGACCTCCGCACTAGTATGATTTCACGCACAAGAGATTGTGAATGTTTGGTTGATTCACTTAGTTGCCGGCCCTGTGCACACTCATCGTAAAAGTGTATCTTGATGTGATGCTTGCAGGCAGCTGCGTTGCGCCGAGTTCCACCCAGACGGCGTCACAGTGGCAGTCGCTGGCAGGGACAGTGCTGTTCGTCTGTACGACATACGCAACGCGTGCATCTTGCAAGAGTACAACGGTGAGTAAATCTCGTGAAACCAAGGCAAAATACCGGCTTTGTGGTGGGCCCTTGGGGTGACTGCAAATCTAGTTTCTGGGCATCCAGGCCTTTGGGGTGTTTGCATCTGGGTAAAGACACCAACAGAGAAGTGAAAATGTCACCATCGAAAGCAGCCAAGTGGGGACAAAGTAAAAGTTAACAGAATATTAAGATTCAAGCCATAGTTGTCAGGAAGGGGTTTAGAACTAGAGAAGTAAGCATATTGGTAAAATAAAACTGAACAGGTCAGAAGTAAAGAATTGGGCAGCATACTACGTTGTGCCATTTGTTGCATCCTGATTAATTGTTTTATTGTGGACATTCATTGCAAGGTAAGTTGTGCTGGAGATTTTTGTTTTTTGACGGCACTGGTGGCTTCCATCACCCTGTCGCTCACATTGTTACAGGTCACACAGTTTGCTAGAGTTTGCATATGGGGCACTGTCCAAATGCTAAATAAGGCTGTAGCATGTTGTACACTTCACACAGCATTCACTTTGAGACTGCAGGCTTTGCAGTGCCGGTGGCGCTTGTCATGCCAGCAATGTACCGTGAATGGCTGCAGTGATTGGCTGAACGTTTGTAAGTAATAGTGGACGCATAATGGCACACGTGCAAGCTAGCTAATATTTGCTACAATTCATGGGGCCCATTCAGCTACTTGCCTGGGGCAAGTCCATTGTCAAGGGGGTGCCCTAGGGGCTTGCCCCACTCCCCCCCACACACACACCCAGTGATTCAGATGGTGCGGCATGTTTTACCAAGAATAAATGATGAAAATAGGCATTTTTCAAGGCCTCCCAAAAATGCTCTAGAAAGAATTGCTGGCTACAGGCCTGCCCTGGTGTGATGTTTGCGTTCCTCTCTGGCGCACGAATTTTTTTTGTGGTTCACACAAATCAGTGCTTCGTTTCAATACCTCCTTTTATGTAAGGTCAAGTCTAACTTAAAAGAACATTATACTATTCTAATCGAGACCAAATTTCAGTAGAACTCATTGTTGGCCTGGTCAGTGTTATAGTCACCTCTGCACTGCCAGGAAGTTTTAGTTGCCCTGACTCACTGATACTAGTCATTTGGGCACATCGACACTGATGTCAGTGTTACAAATGCTTCTGCACTGATAGTTTGATGTCACTCTCTGTCTCCGTCTCTTTTAAACGGCAGCTCACGAGGGCATGGTGAACTCGCTGCACTTCGATCCGTCGGGCACCCACCTGGTGACCGGTGCGAGTGATTCGCTCACCAGGGTCTTCGACGTGTTCAAGGGCAGGCTGCTGTACACACTAGTCACACGCATGGTGAGTTTCAAGCTACGAATCTCGATTTCTGTGCGTCTATATGTGATTTTCGAAAAATGTTGTGTCTATACACTACAGTGTGTACAGTTCTGCCCCTTGAGTTGAAATAACCTGAGAGGCAGGCATCGATTCCGTAAATATTTAGATGTATAGATTAAGTTTATGAAGTTTACCCAATTAACTTGTCAAACAATCACTTTGCAACACCTATAACAATAACAAGTTATAAGACAGTGGCATATTGAATTGGTTTTACAATTTACTCTATCTAATGAGGGCCAGAATTGATTTAATTGCAAGCAAACATGAGCGTACATTTTTAAAGGAAGCCACGCATAAGCGACGAGGAAACAGGAAAGCGCACCATTATGTGATATGCATTCAAACCACATTGAAGTAAATTGAAAAAGTCACGAAGAAACGAGACTTTGCAGCGATTGCTAATAGCTTTTTCTCTGGTTGTTGCAAGCTATGCGTAAGTTTATTAGACAATACCAAACGCAACGAAGAGCCAACGAGAGCATATGGAACAGTATTTCTTTTTTTTTCATAACTACAGCATAGTAAATATGATTATAGTTAAAATGAACTAAAGTGGACCAAAAAACACCCTTTTGCTGGTGAGGCCTGAAGCCACAACCTTTGCATTATGCGTCCATACTCTACCTATTAAGCGAAGTCAAAAGGCGGTTTCTCATCCACATTATTGAGTATTTATATGTGCTTAATACCTGGGAGTGTTAGCCAGGTCCATTCATAGCCCAGGCAATGAGCGAGAGACACTCTTTTTGCCAGAGGGTGTCAGGTAATAAGTCAATATTGCACGAGGTGGCGGCTGGCCTGTAAGCGTTCGTATGCTACCTAAGGCAGCAAATCTGCCAGGACAACGAGGACCTCGCTATGATAGGAGGTAGCTAGGAGAATCGTTTGAGAGGATGCTTTCTTTGTTAGACAGAATAAAATACAGCCACCTGAGCAATCTTGTACTCATGCTTGTCAACATGGATGGCCTTGTCAAGCAGTAACATGAGAGACAATCCATTCTCTTTGCTCCAGATTAGAATGAGTGTTGCAAAGATGTATGGGAAATAGTGTTAAAAGAATCAGGTGAGTGCAATTGTATTATCTTCAGGACATGTAGTTCCCCAATCCAAGGAATTGGGGAAGTGAACGGGTATTTATGCACAGGATAGAGTCCCACTAGGCAACCTATTCTACAAGCTTAAAATAGGATCTAGTCTGGGGGCTAGCATAAAGTTAGCTTTATTAAGTAGTATTATTTGGGTCGGTGTTGCCTCACTTCATCTGGAGTTCGAATGTCTTGATAATGTAGATGACAAACAGATATCCGCATTCAAGATTGTGGCTTTCCCCATCAAATTAACTCAGTTCCTTCGCGAAGTTAACATCTGGACACTCGGGGATACCAGCCTAACAAACACGTCTACTTTGGGAGGACTCGCTAATATTTTTCAGGAAAGCGGCACGGTGAACTTGTGGCTGCTACCCACTTATTCATGCGCCATTTTTTTGTTTTCTTTTTGATTTTGTTTTAGTAACCTTTGTTAAACGTCTTCCTGCATATTGTTAGAAAGATTCAATGTTGCGCAGCACATGAAACAAGGGTTCTAAGTTAGAAAGAATCAATTTACACTTAATTTTAATTTCTTTCCTCCGCTACCTGCTCACTATTTTTTTTTAAAAACACCACTGAATGGTATGAAATGCGTGTGTGCTAGTTCATTTTGTCGCTGCCATATCCATGTTTTTTCTAAGTGTCGCTGTCGGTCTATAAGTATGTTGTTTTTTGCTCCTGACTGTGACTGTTAAGCTGTGTCAGTGTTCTTTCAAGTATCAAACAAGCGATTGGCTCATCATACCCCATTTATGATGTGGTGCCAGTGATGAATGGGTGATTTCAAATATACAAAAAAAAACTTTCCTCATTATCTAATAATCTGCATGCTATATTTAGCTTCATGGCCAGGAAACATATTATCTTGTTGTGAAAGCTGAGCAATGCTTTCTTACTTTTACATCTGTTGTACGCAGAAACCGGTGCACGCAGTTTGCTTCTCACACAACGGAAGTTACTTTGCCACAGGAGGTGACGACTACCAGGTAATGTTAATGCTTTTTGTTTTATGCACATGTATAATTTAAAATGAATATGTAGAGGTCGCTACTATGATGTAGGTTTGTGGTGACCCCTCCTAGTCATGAAGCGTTTGTGCTGAGCAGAGTAATAACAGTTGTTGTTTGGGTTTAGTGTCAACCTGTTGTCTTACTACAGGCTTCTCAGGTGCCCAGGTTACAGGTTACCGCCCCTTGTAAACAGATAACACTGCATGTTGTCAGAAGCGGCCGAGCACCGTCATGTCTACCGAGCAGTTCAGCCTGAAATGATTGGGTGTCAACTGTCAGACACCAGAGCCGTTTACTTCGGCAACGCTGGGACCTGGCCGACCTGAAAAAGTCGCTTTGAGAACTATGCAACTATCTAGAGGCTCAAGAATGCACCGTAGGAAGTGCAGCGCATCGCTCTTATGTTGCATTGGCCCCGAAGTGCATCCGCTCCTTGATACGGTCTCGCTCGATGCTACAACCCTCAGTTCTCATTAGAGTGTGGTCAACTGTTTTACAGAGCGCTTCGTGCATCCAAGCGACGAGCTGTACGAGTCCTTGCGTTTTCACAGACGTGCATCAGCCAGGCGGGAGCGTCAACGGATACTGCGCAGAGTTAAGCAGGATGACGAAACGCTGCCCCTATCTTTCAGTGCAAGTTGAAGAGAGGCTAGTACACGACAGATTCGTCATCAGCTTGTGTGACTCGCGTTTTTCAGACCAGCTCTGCTGAAGCTCATTCTCACAGAGGTTTGGACGCCAGCATTTCATATGGAAGACGTGGAAAGAGATAAGCATGAGTTGCAAGCTGGCACAAGTTAAAATAGCCCCAACGCTTTGAAAATGGATGCTACGAAAAGCCAGAAGCCTGCTCGCCATTACCAAAGCATGAACCCTTCTTTCGACGAACGTAGATATGCCCACCTCCAGATTCTGTGGCCACGCGTCTCATCCTCACACACAATGCCCAGCTCGCTCTGCAACTTTTGTTGAAAAAGAGGGGGGAGGGGGGGCGGAAGGGGCACTTTGCAGAGGTTTGTGGCTTGTGAAAAATAAAAGCAAAAAGTCGACTAAATATACCTGAGTACCATCAGGGAGTGGACCAAGTCTTTATAAGCAGACGTCACCATGAACGACTACATGACGCGATTCAAAATTGAATCTGCAGGTGAAGGAAATCTTTCCTCCTTCCTGTTGATGCAAATGTCACATTTTTCTCCATGTTCAGCCTGCATAGGAGGTCCCAATTCTGTCCCTGACTCCGGGACCTCCTCCTGTATACTCATTTGCAATAACCAGATTTTATGTAAATAATGAAAATTTCTGATTCTGAAGTTTCAGTTATACCCGATGACTTCCTCAAGCTTCCAGTCAAGCTGGACAAGGTTGACACTGTACTTACTTGACCTAGCGGTCAACCGTAGTGGGTACTCGGTTTATGTACAGCCCAACTCTATCGGTGCAGGAAGACATCGTCGCAGCGACTCTGTCAATAAATCGCTCTCTGAATCACTTCTGGGCCTTCCAGCTACACAAGCCCTCCACGTGAAATTTCTTGATGGAGTGCAGTCGCCAGAGGCATCACTTCGCGCTGAACTGTTCCGCCAACTGAGCACACTCAAGGAGGAATACCGAACCCGCTTGAAGCACACTACAATGCATATTGTGGAACGCTCATGATTAATTGCCTTAGTTGTTAATAATTATTTGTCAGAACTAGCACATTCAGTGTATGAGCTTTTCCCATGAGTAGTCACCCTTAAAAATGACCTTCTCAGATGTCATTATTTAAATCACGTAAGAACTTATCCATGAGCGTCTGTACGCACATTTAAGGAAGTGAACATGCATGATTGCATTCCTTTTTAAAATTGCCACTGCTACTTGTTGATGCTAATTCTGTCTTTTTATTTTAATATTCCCTTATTGCGAAGGGCCCGAACAGAGCCTTTAATGTGCTTTTAGGTGGACAAATAGATTCTTGCAGGGAATCAGTGTGATCGACAAGCCTGTTTAGGCCAACACCAACACCTCTGTCTCACTTTGCATACTATTATCAAAAATTTTTGTGTTTTTTTTTGTTCTCGTTTTCTGCCCTCCTGTCAGGACCTTCGAGACCCCAGTGCCATTACTGAAGTAGTATAACTTTCAGGAACCTGCATGTACTATACTACAGTATAGTAGTATAACTTTCAGGAACCTGCATGTACTATACTACAGTAGTAGAATTGCATCCTCTCCTCCATATAGTCCACAGTGACACAGTGCACTGGAATTGGGTGGAGCTGACAGAAGTGCAATCTATTTTTTCTTTGTGGGTTGCAGGTGAACCTGTGGAAAAGCCATGATGCTGAAACAGTAGCGGAAGAGCAGCCAGGCGATGGTGATGCTGGCACGCGAAGTTGCAGTAATGGCGAACCAGCTACTGTAACACCATCCGCCAAGCCGGTGGCTGTTGTACGCTCTGTGGCACAAGTTTCTGCTTTGAATGAGGTACGACATCGCTCTTTCTGTGCACTGATTTCCTTCCGAAAAAAACCTTGAAAAGAAAGTCATTCGTTTTGAGGTGTGTGCATGCCCTTGGCGCAGACCAAATAACCATCACCTTAAGCGGGGAGAATAAAGTCGCACAGCCCATTTCACCTTTTATTGCCCAACAAGGCTTGCAATGCGCAGTAGTGCCCAAAAAGAAAACCTTTGGAATCACGTGGGCGCAGCATATTTTTTTGCAGTTAGAGCGAGTTTCATGACCAGGAAAAGCTACCAAAGCACTGTACACTAACAAGACCAGTGAAATGAAAGTGTAGGAAATGATAACCACAACCTTTCATAATTTTTTTAGATATTATGATCCAGTAGCAGTGCCAGTAATACTGTACTGCTTGCACCATGGTATTTCTGTTGTGTATTTGCATACCACAAGCTAAAAAAGGCTTTAGCTGTGCGAGTTGCTCAATGCACATGGTGAATACTTTCAAGGTTGAAGGCACTCCTTTCTGTAGTGCCTTCGGGCCTTGAAAGTATCTTTAATAAAAGTGACAGTGGCAGTAGTGGCCAATACAGGTCTTGGGAATTAAAAGAGATGTGTGCCATTCACAACATGCTTATCACTTTGCTGGGTTTCCTCAATGTAAAAAAGTTTTAAAGCTAACTCATTCGGAGTTACGGAACTGCCGAAAATTTGCAGCAGCAATTTGTTCACATTATGTGCTTGCCTGGTTGATCTCTCTACCACCAGATGGCACCCCTTGCCCAAGCCACTCAATTACGTGACTACTGATCAAGTGAAATGCTAACACTGAAATGTTTGCTGATAAACCAAAACTTTCTTGTGTTGTTATGAAAAGAATGAGTAAGTTAGTGGCTAACTGTGCTTAATAGAGCTCTAAAATCAAATTTCAGAATCGAGATGTGCCCTTCATTCGATTTCTCGGTGTGCGTAGGTCCTCTTGGTCAAATTTAAATCGCGTTCCTCATGTGGAATTTATTTCATTTTGTCGACAAGCAGCGTACAAGAGCTCAACAGAAAATGGGGTGCCCTGCAATATAGACACTAGTGATACGTGTTCGATGTGATACATTTCACAGACATCATCCTGAGTGAAGATGCACTAGTAGCGACGATGTCTACAAACCGAGTGTTCTTATCCTGGCGCCGACTGGTGCCAAAGCCTGGAAAATCACTCACTCTTCTTGTCTGATCTTCGTTGCACCACTTTAAATGATTTCGTGAGCTTGCCAAGACGCAAACCACTTATAAAGGAACAGCGTATGAAAAGAGCATGATTCAACGTGAGCTCGTTGGCCAGCATGTCGAGGAATTGTTGTGAGTTGCAGTCGCATGGTTCGAAGCGCAATAAAACCGTAATGAGGGTGTCTTTTCATTACACGTATGTTACACGCCAACATGACCACGGCCTTATTTCGTTCTTGCATTTTCTGTTGTTACTGAGAACCGGCCTCTTTTTCATTGGTGTCATTTAATAAATACTCTCTGCCTCTCTCACTTTCTGCTTAATGCTTTTTGTTGCCGTGTCGCCCACACTGCCAGCCATATATTAAGTACTGGTGAGTCTCCTAGTCTTTTTTCTACATTTTGTGTCCGCGCTCTCGTTATACAAATACCTGAACACTTTCCCTGCCCGTCACTTTCCTTCATTTTCTTAAGCCTTTCCTCCAATCTCATTTTGCTCTGAGCTTCCCTTAACTCCAAAGCCTGCCCATCCGGTATCCCCCTTTACAGCCTCATTCACCGTATTTCCCTGAGCGCCCTCCTGAATTATCAGAAACCCTCTCCCGCCTTATTTCGTTCTTGCATTTTTTCTTGTTACTGAGAACATGCGAGGCGTCCCAAAGTCCTTTGATTTACATCCATTCCTGATTGCACCTCTGACTCTATGCACACCACTGAGCTCCCGAATGTGAGCCCTGAAATCAACATGCCTTTCCACAGACCTTGAAGCACTTCGTACCTTTTGTATCCCCATAACACTACGTGCTTCATTATTGCAGCATTCCTCTGTCCCTTTGCTGCCGTTGTTTCTTTTTCTGTACCTTCATATATCTACCTCCCTCATTTGCCCATACTCCAAAGTGCTTGTACTCGCTTACCCCCGGTATTTCTTGGCCCTTATTAAGACCACATGGTCTTTGTAATCATTGAATACCATCAATCCACATTTTGTTGCGCTAAATTCTAATCCTAGAGCCTCGCCTTCCTTTCCGCATATATCTGCCAGGCGCTGTATACGATCTTGACTGTTCGCAAGTAGGACAATATCGTCTGCATAGAATATACCTGGAAGCTTCTGCTCAACCATGTATGAAAAGGGGCAGCAGCGCCCCCACCTACTTGAGCGGCCGTCCAGAGCGTAAAGGGACGCCGGGAAACCAGGCGCTCCCCGTCGGTCATCTCTTCTGGTTCACTAAAGTAGAATACCTTCTTGCGCGACGCAGCTAAAACTGAGCTGTGTGCATTATAATTTGTTGGCTTGTCAAGTACAACTAGTTATGTCCCACTGTCAGCATGAACGTTGACGTCCAGTGAAAGTAATATTGCATGGCGAAAACAGCTGCGCTGCGCCCTTATACGTGTGCAAGCCTGTGACTGCGAGTGCAACAGAGGCACGAGATCAGCTGTATGTCAACCAGGAGAAGTTTCCGCGAACCCAAAACGTGAAAATATAAGCTTTTCAACTGGCTGAAGCTACTTAGCATAGATAAAGCTTGACTAGGTAATGACCCCAGACACGTGCGCACGCAGTCGAGGCGTATGTAGAATGGCATGAATTTCCTGGAGAATAAATCGTGCATTCTGAGAAGACATCCTGTCTCTCTACTTTTGCAATCGTCAACCTAGGGGAAAGTAAGCTCATATTTTGCACTTGTAAATATTCGGACAATGTTTTATTTGAGTAAAGGTGCTTTTTTCTTTTTGCGGATGGAATCTGTAAGTCATAAGATGCGGGGTCGGCGTTAAAACTGCGTCATATAATCAAGGTTTTTGATACATTACTTCTATGGGGATTTTGCCGAGACCAAACTGATTCGTCGTAAAGTGCGAGTCGTCGGGAAAACGGGGGACGTATAATCAAAGTTTCACCGTACTGGGAAATGAGTTCATGCACAATCTACGCTGACATTAAGAAAACTTTTTTTTTTTTTTTTCAAAATTCAAATGGAAATCTATATCTAGCATTTTATGCGATCTTACTTGTGCATTGCAATGATCTTTTTGTGATGAGTGATTGCACAGTGGCGACAGTATTAAAATGTCAGTGTGGTGTCCTCAGGTTAACACTAGAAAGTCTTTCAGGAGACTTATTTGATGTCATACGTTTGCTTCAATACCTCAATTACTAAAACGTTGTTGTCTGTGATGTTTCAAAGTTATGTGTTAACCAATCAGAGTAGTAGAAGAGCGTTATTTTTACTATCTGATTAATGTTCTCTTGCACGCAGGTCTCCAATGGCCATGTCCAACAAATGGCTCCTGCCACGGAATCCAACTTAGAAGCCAAGCTTGACCAAGTACTTGGTGTAATGAACGCCCGGTTAGATGAACTCAGCGAGGTAAGTATCGCAGCAATGTGCTTGTTATGTAACCTTAAAGGGACCAACAACTGATTTTGTTCGACCCAGTTTTTTCCGATAGGACAGACAGCTTATCCTTGTAGTATTCGTAGGTGCAGTAGTTAATTTTGAAAGTACGTAGTTATTTTATAAGCAGTACCGGTTTACTTGCATAATAAACGCACCCCCACTTCAGTCCTCAAAATTTGGATTTTTTTCCCTCCACGTAATAAAAGCGACCTCCACTCGTCCTCTGCAGTCCCGCTAACCGACTCATGGCGCCTTCTTGCCCGTTGAATCTCTTCTGTTTTTATTGTTATCCCGACCGCCTCTGCCTCCTCAGCTCGCTATCTCCTCCCCTTCGCCCACTGTCGCGCACCGCATTGTTTTTTTTTTATCTGTGCGCGACACGTCCCTAGATTTTTTAATTATCTATGCACCACAGCGGGGCTCACGAACGGTGCGAGTATAGATATCGCAGCTGATAAGCACACAGCAAACGAAGGTCATGAAACTGCCCGTGCCAACCAGCGGTCGCATCCTACAAATACGAAACTTTAAGGCACAACCACATGCACACCATTTTCGAGCCACGACAACAGCATTTGCTGTCGCCATGGCGGCCACAAAGGGCCAATTCGTCGCCATCGCGGCGCAGGTTTTTGGAAAACCAGAAAAAAAAATCGCTTGTTGCCCAAAAAAGACCGTGAATCTGCAACATGTTAGTACTGTACCCCCAATTCTTGCTTCAGTCCCGATTTTCTCTGTGTGCGTGTTATCCGCGTGTACTTTAAGGAATGCCAGGCATAAGCTACCTTTTCTACAGTAACCCTTCATGTGGACAGCAAGGTGGCGGCTGTATTTTGCCATCAATCTTGTTAAGGATAGTTTGTTTTTGATGCTTCAGTCGCAGCTTGATGCAATGTTGGTTACTTGCTACAACGCCAACAAGGTTGCCACGGTCGTTGTTGACAGTTGATAAAGTGCATCGTAGCGCATGCTTCTGGGCGCCCCTCAAGATCACAGCAGATACCACTGTTGTTGTTAAACGATTGTGAGAAAAGATAGCTGCAGAACACTTTTATGGTGTGCGCGGGGACAGCTTGCAGAAGATCAACAAACACCACCGAAGATGAGTGAAGTGCAACAAAGAAGCTGTTTCGAAACAGTGTACCCGTACGTCTGTTTGTTTATTTGTTTGTTTCCTTCAAAAATTGGCACGTTCCCTCTTTGGGGGATTGGCCGAGAATGCAGCGTTGAGACTTTTAAATTATTTTAGGTGAGAGAGGTGATTCAATACTAAAAATAAAGAAATAAAATAGTATGTAATATATTCAATTTGAACTACAAATATTATAGTTTTGAGCTGGTATGTATTTATAAGTATTGTATTAACTTGATGGGAACAATTTTGAAAACTTAGGTACGTTTCACCTTATTGAAATGATGAAGAATTTTAAATACCAGATTAAAATGGTACTCGTTGAGCAGTAATAACAAAATTACGCATGGCATCAAAGGCATCCCTGTGGCAGTATCCCAAGCCTGAAGCGCGTTTTCCTTTGATAAGGTAAGCCTATTTTTGAAAAAGAAATAATGAGAAGTCGAGTTCTAATACGAGAAAATCTTGAACATGACAAAAAGTAATGTGCAGTATTTTCCAGTTCTTCGCAGAATTGGCAGAGGGGTTATATTGTCTGACCAGCCCTGTACAATTAAAAGTTTAATGGGGGTATACGACGTTGAAATCTGGTGATCGTGACTTCTGATTGTCGAGAGTGGCTCCACTGCGACTTCTATGGATATTGTAGGTGATTATATTCCGTCCTCGTAACTAGTACTTCCATCCTATCGGTATGGATGGCTAATTTTCTATACCTGATTGCGATGAAGTATTCTACCACTAGGAGAAGCTGAACTATTGGCAGACCTAGCGATGAGCGGGCTAAGGCGTCAACCATTTCATTTAATGTTAACCCACAGTGACCTGGGGTCCATACTAACTTCAGGTACTTCAGCTGAGACAGAACTAAAGATCATAAAATTAAGAGCTGTGCATACTGAGAGCAAATCAGTAGTTGTTACTGCCCTGTTCTCATCCATCGGAAGTTTTCGCAGTGCCATAATGACTGGCTACGCTTCAAAAATTGGAGTGAAGTCGGGTAGCTTCACGGCAAATGACCAGCCAGGTGATTGGGAGACTATTCCTATGTCTGCCCTTTCCTCGTTTACAAATGCATCTGTAGCTATTATGTTACGTGTCTGTGTATGCATCAGGAAATCTGTTAAGCTGTTCTCCAAGAATTTACGATATTGAAATTTAGATTGTGGAGAAAAGATATCATCATATTCTATCATTAGAATCTGGTTTGAGTTATCAGATGCAATTACCTCTCTAATGTTGACATTTACACTTGTAAGTTTCTTTTGCACATGTATTATCTGTGGTGTATGAAAAGCTGGCCAATGAGCGAGAAAGAACGAATCTGGATCGCTGATGAAAACATATTCAGCTCTTTTCACTAGCAAGCTGTAAAATTTTAGGAATGTTTGTACTGTTAACAAACGGAATCGACAGAGCAATGTAGGCAGACGCGCTTCGTGATAAATAACATTAATTACTGCAAACCTAGGGAGCCCCAGACACAAGCGCAGAGCTTCCTCCAGCTCCAAGTGAACCAACGACTTTACCGTAAAAACCCGCGTATAGTTCGGACCCGCGTATAGTTCGAGGTGTAACTCGGGGATAGCAAACGCGAGAAAAAACATTTTCACGCGAATATTGGTCGAGGAAAACAGAAAAAATGCATTTATTTGCCTGCAGCAGCTCGATGTGCACAGCGAGTTGTGCAGCTCGTTGCTCCCGAACAAAGTCCGTCAGTTCTCGTTCCACATCTGGAAATGCTCCATTTTTCGGTCCCCGGAAACTTTTTCTCTCGCCGCAGCATGCAAAAAGGGCTTCCTTCTGCTTCCGCCAACCGCGAATGCTCCTCTCATTCACACCGAACTGCCGCTCCGCGGCACAGTTGCCGATGGTTTCGGCAGCAGATAACTTTCCTCTTAAAGGCAGCCGAGTACTGCCTGCGCGGTCCCGACATGGCTTAAAATCACGGAAGTAAAATCGTGGCCGTCGTGATGTGCGCCAAGTGATTGCAATGGCCACTGTTGCTCGCCTGATGCACGCCTGTACCTGTAGGTCTCTAGGACTAACGCCGCTCACGCTACCACGCCACCTAACCTAGAAGTGCGCAGACACCTGATAATGATGATAGCACCAACCAATGCCGAAACCAAAACTGAATTCGGGCCGAAACTTTTTTGGGATCCGCATATAGTATGGGGCTGAAATTTCGCACCCTAAATTTTAGAAAAAAATCCCGAGCTATATGCGGGTTTTTGCGGTATTTTGTACGCAGGTCCACCTTAAAACAACACACATCCAAATTCAAATATTGGGCACATATACATTTTGTATAACATTAACATGGTCTCTACGTACGCCAAATTTGCGATTACTCAATCTTCGCAGTAACTTGAAGCCGGTTGAGCCTTAGTCTCAGTGTGTTCTATATGTGAACTCCAGTTAAGTTTTTCATTGTACAACACACACAAATATTTAAGGTAGTCTACTTGCCAAATGGGTTCCTGATTATATGCAATGGCGAGTGAAATCGAACCGGCTATAAAAAATGCCAAGAGAGCACCCTTATTTACATTAAAAGCCATTGAAATCGACTGCAGCCACCTTTTCAGCATGTTCAATTATATTTGTAAGTTTTGCTGTAGAGCGTAAATATCATTGTCAGCAGAAAACGAAGCTATAGACAGATGTCCTGGCATAGACATACACATAGGTGTCCTGGCAGGTCGGCATGGAACCCATTAGTATATTAAATGTGTATGTATGTGTATTAGTATGTGTATGTCAATTGTGAAAGGCTAAGTGACCTAACAACTTCTTTTTTCTTTTTGCACTACGTAATTACTGCATTTTTTGCTCATCCCGCCAAAATTTCATAAAATTTGCCCCACATCATCAACTTTGCTGCCATTTTTCGAGAAGTGCGTTCATTATGTGAGTAAATAGGGTATTTTTCCATGTGAAAGGCTCTGAACACGGATGTGCCTTTTTGTCCAACAACGCAGAAACTTGATTGCGATGCCGGTAGTCCTTCTAGCGACTTGTGCATGCTGTTGTTCTGCTTTCGCAAGAGTTCCAGCAAATACGCTTAACCAAGGTTATTCTGAGCTTTACAACAATTTTCGAAAATAGCAAGCCATTACAATGAGCCCATGTAGCCTCATTAAGCTTCCCTATATTTTTACCGTGCCGTGTGTACCTGCGCCCAAGATTGCGCCTGTGTCGTGGATGGCTCGTCCCGTCGTTACTCTCTCGAGGCACAAGCCAAGCCAAGTCACCGAAAACGTCCCTGCGTACGTGCGCGGCCGTGCTGAGTAGCAGTACACATCATTTTTGAGGTAAATTGTATGTAGAAAAGCCACGTCGGTCCAAAATCTTGGCGACCTAGTAACTGCATGCACGGTTTGATGAGCACGCAGAAAAGTTGCTCAAGACACGCTGAGGAGCATGAGATCATTACGTCATGTGAAGGCAGTGCCAGTTCAATGCGTACTATTAACGTAGGCCTCTATGTCCATTTTTAAGGAGATATATCTTTCACTATAAAGCAGCAAAGAAGATTTCCATACTAACAGAAAAATTGTTCACCGCATGCACTAGTTTACGGTCACATGACAGGGCACATGCTGACTGCATTCTATGCTCTGTACTTGCTGTAGACACTCTACGAGACCTTACAACGGGCTGTTAAAAGGCCACTTCACTGGGTCACACTGTAATTGTGCTGCCTGTTTCGGGCAAACCTGGGGTTTTACACGAACACGTAGAAGAAGTAGCGTACAGACGACACATGCAATCATTGAGTCTCGCGAAATTGCGAGACCAGGTGGGAGTTGCGACAGAGCACTTGTACTGTGTGTGTCCGAAAAAGAAATCACATGTCTTTCATGTGTGCACTGTGTGCTAGTCAATGCACATGTATAATTAGCTTTCTTCTTCTGCGGCGTTCTGCTGTTGTCGTTGATTTGTCACTCGACGAGCAGTGCATGCATATATGCCTATGTTTTTAGGAGAAAATGCACTCAGACATTGATATAACAAACCCGGTTATAAAGAAATGTTGGTTATAATGAAGTAAATGAAAGAATAGCCTTGCAATAAATATATTGCTAGGAATAAAGCTTTATAATGAATTTTCACATATAACGAGCTTATTTTCGTGTCAATTGCAACTTTGTTAAAATGAGGTTTGAGTGTAGTACAGAGTCGGAACTTGTCATTGTCGTCTGTGCCACTCTCACCTGCTTGCTCATTGCCCCTTGAAATATATGTACAACTATCCAACCCATGTTTGCATCTTCCCATTCAGCCACCTACTACTGTATATATGTTTCTGATTCACAGCCTTGTTATAACCATGTAACTTCTCTTGTGCAGAGGATGTCCCATTTAATCTCCGTAATGTTGAGACTCGAGTCAGTCATGGCGAAGCAGCGAAGCAGTGAACAGGAGCCGCCTGAGTTATGTCAGCCAGAGCACAGCGGCACCACCTGTGACAATTGAGATCGATCGTTCACCCATCGTCAACCTCATTTTAGTTGTTTGCTAAGACAAGTTCTCTCGTTTATCCAGTGATATTATGTACTTCAGTTTCTAGCAGGTGACTGCATATCTTCCAGTTCAGCTCAAAAGTGTGCTGTCAGAAAATGCCAAGTGGTTTTAATAAATTCTTAGCACAGTTTAAAAGGTGTGCTTCTGGGTGTTTTGCGTTCATTCTACCGTTTAGAAATGAGTTTCACGTGTAGACAACAAAGCTTCACTTATTTTCAGTTTTCAGTATGGATACTGAGGTGAGAGCACAAAACTGGGTGCAGACGAAGGACAGACAGGTCGTATCTAGGAAATATTAAAAAACAGTTGGGAGTCAACGATCGCTGTTGTTTCACCTTCATCCACAAATAGTTTTGTGCTGTTAGTTAAGTATCGTACACAAAAGAACATCCCAGTGGAAAGCCTCGTTTCAATATTCAGTTTTTGGCTGAATTCCTTGGACCAACTCTGAACTACAGAGAGCAAGCACCATTTGCCAGATTCAAGCAAGAACATCTGATGAAAAAGTCTAGTGTGCAACTCACTTTATTTTGAAAGCACACTTGGAGAAAGAAGACCGGTTCGAAGTTTCCAACTGCACGGGCATCATGCTGTCGATGTAGAGAAAAATGGCATTCCAGCATATCATGTGTCATGATCCAAACAGAATGCACTTACATGAAGACACTGTAGCTGAAATCGTGAGAGAGATGCCGCGTACCTCCTGATTGCTTCTCACCACTTTATTCGGAGAATGTATTGTCACTACTTTGTGCACACCTTTTTCATATCTAATAGCAGCTGCCTATGCAAATTCTACATGACTGGCTTGGTTCAAGTACTTGCCATTGACTAGCTGTTTGGTACTGCATGCAAGCAACAGACCTATTTCTAATAAAGCTTTTGAAGGATGCCTCTACTTTTTGGTGAATGCCCATATTGCCAGCATACTTTGAACGTTTCATTATGGTTTTGAACATTTTTGTACGGTTCATATATTGTTTCTAAGTGAACACTAAACGGACGTATGATTTTTATCATATTGAAAAATTACTCTTTCGCAATGTTTGTCTCGCGTGTTCTGAGGAGCTCTCAACTACCGATTGACAGCGTTTTCTGACCATGCAGAAAGTGTTGCTGGGCAGTGATGTTCTGTGCTATGAAGAATTTCGAGACCTCAAAATTTTCTATTTCAGGCATTTTTCATGCATGCTTTTAACGAAATTTCGGCCTATTTCCCGGCACAACGATGGTAATTTACGCGAACATGTGCATGAATATAGATGTCATGCATGTGTGTGATATGTCTACAACTATTCGAATCGTGACTAGCACCAGCGCAACTCAAAGCATGGTCTTCGTTGCTCATGTGCTCTGTGTACACTGTGTGTGTTGAGTCTAATACCCAGAGTGAACAAGAAATTTCGCCATACCATTATTAAAAATAAATTTTGAGGGCAATGCCTTTGTGTTCTGCATGACTCGGAACCAAATGCAAATATTGATGGAGCAGTGTACAAACGACACATGTGCACGCACACACTAAAGTGATGCAAACATGCCGCTTTTATTTACATCATTTTTATGAATGCATGATTGAATCATTTATTTGCTACTTATCAGTATTCCGGCTCACCAACTGACCCAATGTTACAAATTAAGCAAATGCTAAATCCGAAAGCGAATTATAACTGCCATGTCTTTGTCGTAATTCACCATTCCGAAAATACCCTGCGATATCTGGAATAAAATATTCCCTTTCGTCCGAAATGCAGCTGGAAATTTCCCAAAAAGAGGGGAAAGTTCTCTGCACGGAACATCACCGTTTTAGGGTCCCCTTCAAGGTGATTGCAGGGCATGATTTGTGCTATTATTGGAACATTCTGAAATGAGAGCCTGATAACGTAGATCTTCCTCGGTACAGTTATCCACTGATACTCAAACTACCCATGAAAGAGAATGTTACAGTGCATGAAAAGACTGAATGAAGTGCAATTTGTGAATTGCAGTGTCCTTCGTTCAACAGTGAACTTGACTTTACCTTTGAGGACGGATGGGCTGTACCCTGCTGTGTTGTGGCACTAGCTGTCAGAGTAAAAGCAAGCCATGACAAATGTTACGTAGCATAGCCCTTATCGTAGGCGGGTCGCTTGAATTAAGCTAACAATAGTCGCCATACTGAAACAAGGTGTTTGTTCAAACTAAACATTTCATTTAAGCAAAACAAGTGCTACATCTTCGCAATGCTATTACAGTTAAACAGCTTTATAACAGGCATGCTCCAGACAGCAATTCTTGTCTTTTATATGAGATGTCTCTTATAAGCAGGGTACTTTGTTTGCATTTTCTTATCAAGCCGTATTTTAGTGCAGACACACTAGTGTCTCTTATACCCATTTCTCTCTTATATCAGTGTCTCTTATAAAGGGGTTCGACTGTACCGCTATCCAAGCCAACACTGTATTAGTCTTTGGTTTATCTTTAAAGCTTAATGCGAAGCTCTTGTCAGTTCTTTCCTCTAGTTTTATTTACCCTTTCTACATGCTTGACTCTGTCAGAATACACGAGCATAACCTCTCCAATAAGCCCATTTGCTAAACCTTCATGACTGGTTTTTGGTTGTGATGGAAGTTTGCAAAGTTTTATTGTTGAAGTAAAACGAATTAGTCAAGCTATTGTTTCATCGTCATTTTCGTGGTATATAAACGTGCATAATACTGATGCCATCGCTCTAAAAAATGATAGAGTTAAAAAGGGTGTCTTTTTGTCCCACAATAATATTCATCGTCTACCTTGCTTTCCTTTCTTTACATTATGGCCGCGTGCCCAGTACTTTCGGGTCACGAACGACATGCACGTTAGCAGCGTGACAGCATTCTGGGTAGGACAGTGGCTATCGCCAAGTTTTGAAGAAAAGAAGTGTAAGCAAGGCGGATGACGATTTTTGTGGGACAAAAAGACGCCCATTTTACTCTAGCATATTTTTTAACTGGTCGCCTTCGATCCGGACCACAAGAATGAAAATACAGATGGGCAGAGGGACGGACAAGCGAACAGTTTGCTCGTGAAGTCGGCATGCATAGACATGCTTCTACACTTATCGAAAAATTGGCCGCGTATCTGCGCTATTCGCTAAAAAGACGTCGAAAGAAAACAGTCTTCTGTCTGCAGGTGCTGCGTGAGATATGACACCATCTGGCAGTAATGTGACCAAACAAAAGTTATTTAGAATGCAGAACTACTGGTAGGTGGCAGCATCGTGTCGTTTTAGTAAAGCAGAAAAACACTAGCTTTTTCGTTCATGGCGTTGCATTTTCAAGGCAGTGTAATAAACATTACAGGCTTTGCATGAATTGCGTGCCTATGTATTGTCTAAATAAAGAAACAGACTACCTAACAAATTTGTACCTCAGATATGCATAATGTTAAGCGGTTTATTGGCGGACACTCAGCGATGATTCACGACAGCGACAGTCAATGCGGGGATCGACTCTCTGCAGGAGCTGCTCTTCTTCTTATGAAAAGGGCGACCCACTAGAAGGCGCTGAAGAGGACGACCCACTGTTCAAAGGCTTTACCACAACTACCCCAGGTACGAAAAGGGAGCCGCCTGGCGACCTAACAGCTGGTTACAATGAGCGGGTCATGGTAGGCCTTGCGGCGCTCCACGTTAACAATGTCGCGTCCTCGACGACGCATGTCCGAAGATGGTTCGATGGGTTCAATCAAGTAGTTGACTGGGGAAGTGCATTTGACGACACGGTAGGGGTCTTCGTATTTGGGCAATAGTTTTGAAGATAGGCCAGTTGCAGTAGTAGGGATCGAGAGCCAGACGAGCGCTCCAGGGAGGAGCATGGGCGCAGTAGTGCTGGCGTCAGCGGGAATGCTTTTTTGCCGCTCTTGATCATGCACAGTAAAGGTCTTTGCAAGCTCTCGACACTCTTCAGCAAGCTTAGCTGTAGCAGAAATAGGTGCCCACTCAGACGGATCTGGCCTGTACGGAAGTATCGTGTCGATGGTGTGTGACGGGTGCCTTCCATATAATAAAAAAAAGGTGAAAAGCCAGTAGTGCTCTGAGCGACGGTATTATATGCATAGGTGACGAAGGGTAGAATGGAATCCCAATTTGTGTGATCGGCGGCGACGTACTTAGAGAGCATGTCGCCGAGCGTACGGTTGAAGCGTTCGGTGAGGCCTTTCGTCTGCGGGTGGTAAGCAGCAGTTTTGCGGTGAACAACGTTGCACTCTTTGAGAATGGCTTCAACGACTTCAGACAGGAATACACGGCCTCGGTCAGTGAGCAGTTCCTGGGGTGGACCGTGTCGCAAAATGAATCGTTGGAGCAGAAAGGAGGCCACATCGCTCGCTGTAGCCGCGGGAAGAGCAGCTGTTTCGGCGTATCGCGTGAGGTGGTCCACAGCAACCAGCGGTTACCAGCCGACGTTAGTGGAAGTGGCCCATACAAATCAATGCCAACGCGCCCGAACGGCCTGGCAGGGCAACGTAGAGGTTGCAGACCTACCGGCGACAGGGGCGTTGAAGTTTTGCAACGCTGACACTCTATGCAGGAGCGAACGAATTTCTGCACGTAGTGGTACATGCCGCGCCAAAAGTACCGTTGGCGAATGCGGTGGTAAGTCTTCGATACCCCCGAGTGCGCACATTGCGGATCAGAATGAAAGAATTCGCATATGTCAGAGCGCAGACTGCGAGGTATGACTAGTAGCCACTGGCGGCCGTCACCGTTGTAATTGCGTCAGTGGAGGAGGTCGTCGCGAACGGCGAAATGGTGGGCTTGACGACGCAACGCGCGAGTGGATGGAGTGGATGGATCAGTCAGCAAGTCTAGCAGTGAGGCAATCCATTGATCCTTGCGCTGTTCAGTAGCAATGGCATGAATGCTAATCGAAGAAATGGCAAGGTGAGACACTGAGTTGTTGGCATTGTCATCAGGCAAGAGAGAGCGCGACAGGGCGTCGGTGTCGGCATGTTGCCTTCCATTGCGGTACAGCACACGGATGTCATAGTCTTGCAGGCGAAGTGCCCACCGGGCGAGACGGCCTGAGGGATCTTTCAATGATGACAACCAGCATAGTGCGTGGTGGTCGGTGACGACATCAAATGGGCGACCATACAAATAAGGTCGGAACTTTGCAAGG